CACACACACACACACACACACACACACACACACACACACACACACACAGAGTGCAAGTGCTAAGGGCCTCTTGGGTTGCCATAGCTACACAAGGTGGGGATACTTCAGGCAGAATCTGTTGAATGCATCATAGATGGCCTGTCTAAAAAAAAAACCCAAAACAAGTCATCCATTAGTGTACGCTACAAACAAGGTGTAACTGCGACATGAAAAAGAATGCAAAGCAGCAGCAACATGCAATGTACCTGATCGTCGTAGGATTGCGAATTTGTCAAAGGGTGGTTACCTGAAGACATTCTGTTTGAACAGATAAGCACTGATATGCCCTCCATTCAGATATCGGACTTCACATCCAGGCCAGATCTCTTGCAGACTGAGGACCCCCGTCCGAGGGATATAGGCGTCCTCTTTGGCCTGCACCACGATGATAAGACTGGTGTCAACGGGGACTAGGAAAGACACAAATACAGGTATCATTTTTCAGTTGAGACAAGAGATTGAAATGTTCTCAATCACAATTTGTTGTGTACATTTCTGGCAGCTAAAGTAAGAATTAAAGCAAATCCCTGCTAAGATTTCTGTTTATGGACATGATTTCTTCAGCACTCACCAGAGAAGTTTGCCATGTGTGTACACTCGTCCATCACTCCCTTCATGAAGCTTATCGACTCGCTGTGTAACAATGGCCGACAAATTTTGGCTGAACCTGCCTTCTTCTTCCCAATCTGTGATTTGGTTGCTTTGAAGCCACTAAATATTAAAAAAAAAAAAAACGTTTTAGAGAAGTCAGTAATGAGAAATAGTAGGATAGACAATATGAGACCGTACTAGCCAAACTCATGCATTCCAAAAGTACAACTTGCCAAGTGCAGTAGAGTACAAAACGGCAACGTTCACATTAGCTACAAATGATCACCTTGGTAAAGTGTCTAAACTTGTCTTGGTGCTGTCCGCTGATAATAATGTGTCCAATGGGTCGCGAGCCACACCCTCGCCGATCCACAGGTCAGGCCCAATTTCTGCCTTTCCTCCTGCTCTGGAGTAGCAGCCCACTGAGACGGCGTCTTCTCTCGGCTGGTCCAGCAGAAGCTCCAAGGAATTCTCTCGACCTGCCGAGTGTTTGACAAACTCCTGAGCCATCTTGAAGGAGTCGGCCTAATGGAGGGACGCCCACCGAATTAGCTCACGTCAAAATATTCATCCCTAATTATTTTACTCATTCTTAAAAATGAGAGATGCAAGTAAGCTTGTCTCGATGATAGGCTCAAGAACTGGTGGATTTTTTTCCCTCTAAAATGTCATAGCTGTAAATTAGAATGAATGGCAAAACCCATATTGCACAAGTTTTTTAGAGGACAAACTTAAAAACAAAAAAATGAAAAGGTCTCAAAAACTTGACATACGAGAACAAAAGCAAAGACTTTCTGAAATCAGCATCAAAGATCCATTTAGAGACACAGAAAAGCTATCTCTGATTAAATTTTGCCATTGACCCATGTAGTTATTGGATGATATTCCGTATTTTCCGCACTACAAGGCGCACCTACAAGCATTCAATTTTCCCAAAAGCAGACAGCAGGCCCTAAAGTCCGATGGCCCAATATAAACAGACTGTAACTCCCTTGATATTCCCCAATGAGTGGTTTCCATGTTAGTGTTCCTATGCCATCTTGTGGTTATTATTAGCAGGAACCAATTGTAACCTAAAAAGGTTCTGCCTGACACTAATTAACGTGCATTCGCCAACACACACTGAAACAGGCGACGACTTTGTGAGCTCTGTGCAGTCAATAGGAAACGAAGAAAATACCAAAAGCATAGTTAACTACTGACTAAACGAAGGAAGAAGGAGACAAGCAAGGCTTCTCAGGATATTTAGCCCCTTATGGATGTGAGCCCACTATGGTTGTCTTTTTGTTGAATCAATTTTCTTCATAACTTTTGTCTTTCATGTGTTGTTTTGTAATGCCATTTGTATTTATATGTTTCATGTCCGTGTTTGTGACCAGTTCTGCATGGCTTTGCTCGATATAAATAAAGTTGTATTGTTACATTGTATTCCCTTCAGCGTAGCTCCATCTAGTGGCTGCATAGCGCAACTGCAGCTGCGATTGTAGCATCTATTCTATGCACTTTATAATGCAGTGCGCCCTACATATGAAAACGGTTTTGAACTAGGCCATTGATTGAAGGTGCGCCTTCGCGATTGTAGCATCTATTCTATGCGCCTTATAACGCAGTGCGCCCTAATATGAAAATGGTTTTGAACTAGGCCATTGATTGAAGGTGCGCCTTATAATCCGAAGCGCTTTATCATGCAGAAATTACGGTTTATGCAAGTCAAAGCAAAGACTGTCAACAAACCCCACAATACTCCAACAGCTTCATAATCTCTTCTTCATACACCGAATTAATGGCATACTGCTTCTCCAGCTCCGACCAATTCACTGCCTTACTGAGCACCCCCTATGCAAGCATCAAACACACAAAAAGGAAGAAAGAGCAATTCACGGGTCAAAGAGTCCTTCCAATGGATTTGCAACAAGACGAGATGTCTTCCCGGAGAGAGAAGATCTAAAAACTGTAATAGCACGTAACTGTATGTAAACCAGCCTTTTAAGAGTTATTTTCTCATATTCATGCACAAATACTTTCAGCGGGGGAATGAGTGCATCTAGTCGATATTGCAGGAAAAAAAATAACGCAAACAATCAGACAGACAGGTTGTTAGACATTGAAACTGATGACGGGATTATGATTTGAAATCATTTCTATCAGAATTTTCGGAGTCATTCAAGAATTTGCTAATGTAATTCAATTCATTCAAACCTATGACTAGTGTTGATTTCTCAAGCTGAGCTCGTCAAAGTGTGTCGATTACCGTGGTGAAGACACTCGAGGCAGTGGACCATGACAGGCAGGGAATCAGCGGGATGGGCTTCGGCCAATTCGTCACTGCTAAGGAGGACATCTTGAGAAAAACAAACGTATCAAAGTCACTGCTCAGTGTTTGTGTGTGTAGAGTACAAGGTAATTTTGCGCGTGCCATTGAAGTGTTCATGATTCTGATGACTGAATGTGGGATGGTGTTGTCACGTACATATCCTCCCATGGAGATACCGGTCATTCCAACAGGAGAGTAGCCCTCACTCTCCAGCCAATGGAGAAGCACGGAGGACTCCAAGATCAGAGCTCCACCCATCACAAACAGGTCTGACACATTCTTGAGACAGGACCGCCTAAAAGAGAAAAACAGCTTGGTTCTGTAATTGCAGAAAGAGCCGGGAGTTTCTCAGTCTTGCAGGGGTTAGTCAAGTCAAAAATCATTTTTCAGCTAAAAGTAATTTCAATCCTCCTGATACTGCAGTGCTAATCAATGAAACTGAGTGTGCATGTTCTTCCTGTGCTTCTATGGGCTCGCCATGCATTTCGGCTTCCTCGCACAGTCCAAAAACACATACGTAGTGGGTCCATTGAATGTTAAACTGTCCGTACTATAGCTATTGAATGTGTGTGGGTGGGTGTCTGTTTTAGCGAGTAAAGAGGTTTAAACTTACAACTGGTCTTTTGGTTTACGATAGCCATGTGAAACGCAGAGTCAAGGGCTCACATTTTTGGGAGGCGGAAAGACAAAGGGACAAAAACAGGATGAGCAGAAAGAATGCAGATGGAGGGCAACCCACTCAATACAGCCAAAATCTTGAAAATAAATAAATAAATAGATACACTGCATAAAAATAGCGCAGCTCTTGTGCAAATACTTGAGAGTTCAGCGGAGGGGTCGGGCAAATTTATCAGGAAAACAACGTCTCGATAGTAACAAATGCTTGCGAGATGCAACCACACTAGACATGTTACGTAAAACATTGGCAGGGTGCAAAAACAACAGAAGGATATAATAAGGGTTCTCCAAAAGCAGAGAAGCCATTCCTGCTTCTTTGACCATCGGCCTGGCCATCAGGGTCCTTCGGCGCCAGAAAAACTACGACGACGACATCAGAGTAAAATCACTTAAAGTGTATGGAACTCAAAGTGGACTCAAAATTTTAAAAAAAACACACACACAAAAAACACCCCACAACAAATAAATCTTACATGATCTCCAGTGCCAGCCAAATGAATACATACTGGCCTGTTGCTCTGCCATCTTTTCGGAACTATGAACTGGAACCTGAAAATATGTACAAGTGTCAGTGTTCATGACCCTGGATTTGAGAACATTGCAAGCTTGTTAACTTTATCCTCTTGACCAACTTCCTGCTCATTTTACGTACATTATGTCAAACACAATTAAAAAAAAAAAAAAAAACGGCACGAAAAATGAAGCCTGCTTGTACTTTGACCAAAGACATGTACAGTATATCCAAACAGGATGTATTCTCTTTCGGAGAGTTTGCGATCACACACTGTCAATATTGTTTTGTATTCAAGCATCCATATTGACTGTTTTTCATTGAGTTGCACAACCCCTGTCTTATAGCTTATTTCATCCAATCCTAAGAGTGTCATTCACATAACTGATTTACTATATATTATTTTATTGATTGAAGCTTTTTTTTTCCCTTCACATTTATTGAATCTGGGAGGTCAAGTGAGCACCCTTAATTATTTACAATGACGGCAACATAAGAGCTGACTCTATTTTATGGAGTCAGGTATTTGCTTTTGTCGTGTCAACTGGCTAAATGGACTTGAAGTGTATAGGGTTTTTTGGGGGCGTGGGAGGGGGCTGTGTTCTACATTTTCCCCACACGAATGTGGAAAATGTTTTAGGGCGATCAATCCCCACTTATCTCAGATTTTTTTTTTTTCCGGAGAGTACAGTAAAAAGAAAAAAGAAAAAAAACGTATTGGAAAGTAAAACATATACCGTGGTAGCTCTCCTTTAATTGTTCTGGAAGAAATTTCTGAACTATAAAGTTTTGTAAGTAGAGATGTGTTTTTCATGTAAATGCCCGAATTGGTTCCCACCCCCCCCGCAAAAAAATCTGACATAAATGTTTCCTAAAGCATAAAAATGCATTAAAATATGTAACAAATTGATGGAGAAAGACGAACTTAATATTATCATGTTTTAAAGTTTCATTTCAGAAAATGCTTAACCTCAAACGGTATGTTCTCACAACTTGTACACAATGGAGCACACAGGAAAAAGGGCAACTTGACCTGAATAAAGCCAAGTCCTCATTAACTGATAATGTTGGCCGGAAGGTTCGACTTCGGGAGGGCGATATGATAAGATGTCTTCGGTTTGTTACAGTGTCTCAATTCATGTGAAATCTACCCACTGAAGTAACAAGGTATCCATTGTTTGTACCGAGAGATGTTTTGGCCTCTGAGGGGCGTATCGGTGGGCTGGGTTGAGAGGTGTGACATGTGAAGAAGGGAGTGTTTTTCTGATATATCACTTGTAATTTGCATCCACAATCAATAAAGAGGCCGGCAGAAAAGACAATCTCTTCCTGAGTCTGTTTGTTCAACTGTCCGAGTGAACAACTCTGACACAAATACTTGTTACAGTTAGATTATTGCACAATAAATGAGTGTTGTGCATAATGTAAAAAACAAAGAATAGAGTAAAGAAGAAGAATGATGGTCATTTAACTTTTAACTGCCATCCTCATTGTTTTTTGCCCTCTTTAGTTCTCTATCAGAAGTGGTTTTGCCTGGCGTTTTGTCAAGAACTGATCCAAGGACGTTTGCTTTTGTTGGCTTTTAACAATCCCTCAAAAATGTCCAAGGCAAACATCAGCATAGTGAGCGATCGCCCGACCGGTGAACACTTTTTCTGGGTGATTCATATTTACGGAAAACTTTTGGAACACCTCCTGGGAGAATGACGAGGACGCTGCATCGACACATTTCTCTCTATCTACACACATAGACACAAACAGTAGAGGTCCCTCTTAGCCAATGGGATGCCAGGATGATGCTTGGTAATAGCCAATGGCAGAGCAGCTATAAGTATTTCGTGTTCAGGAAACTCGGGGTTGCGAGTAGCAGGCCATACTGTATTTTTTTTACCTTTCGTATCTTGAAATTTCTTTCGTAACAAGAGGCAATATTTTCCTGTTGAGATGTTTAGTAACTTGAAAATTTCGTATGAAGAGACGTTCGTAAGTAGACATACCACTGTACTGTGAATCCTCGCATCGTCACAGTTTGACATGACCAACGCAATTAGGGGAACGACCACTAAAGAAACTCACCTATTTGGTGTTTCGTCAATATTTGGTGGCCTTTCGGTGCCGAGCAACTATGTTGAACTGAGGCGAAAAGCTTCGCTTAGATAAGCAATAGCCATGTTTAATGTGAAAAAGGGTCCCTTGGCTGCTATTTTGTGGCAATTACAATTGTTTTTGAGTTTGCATCAATTATTTTTGGTTTTTCGATATTCATACAGCTTTTGAGATTGCAATATTCCTTTAGCACAGTTCTTTTCAAATAGTGGGGCGCGCCCCATCGGATTCAGAGAATGGATGGAATCCATCCATCCATTCTCTGAACCGCTTTATCCTCACGAGGGCATGCTGGAGCCTATCAAAGCTGCAAAAAAATGCATGGCAACTGCTGTAATGTATGGTGACGAGGTATCAGGTTTAATACCTTGCTTTCACAGCCTCTGTTGGCAGGATTCCGGGTACGAAGTGCTCCAGAGGTGAAACGAAGACACCGTCATGGATGTAGCAATCAGCATGCACCTCGGTCTGTACAAAAATCCAAAGAACACACTGGTATATCAAAACAAACAAACCAAAACTCACACAAAAAACCCACAGAAACAAACATCACACATATAAAGAACACTTGAAGGGAGAAAAGCTAGACTACCTTGTTTATATATACCGGATAGTCCTTGGGCACCAGAGACTTACACCTCTCTCTGTCTCCTATAATCTTACGGAACTCAAAAATTCTGCAGAGCACAACCCCACAAGTTCAACATCAGTACAAATCCATCCATCATGTGAGAAAAGTCATACGCAGGGCTCCAGGCTGCTCCTAAATGGTGGCATTTTGCACCAAAAATTGAAGATAGGGAGAAGGCATCTACTCACACACGTGCGGCCAGTAAATTTGTCCATGTCCATTTTTATTGTTGTTGTTATGATTGAATATTTTTGGTTGCTGACAAACTTGTCCTCCACACTTCAGCCCAATTATCAATAACATTTGCAAGTCGATTTACAGTGTGCGCCACTATATTTTCGACTGGCGGCCATAACATTTCAGGCTAGGGGCCACTGTGTTCTGAACAAAAGAAGTTAGTCTGGAGCCCTGATACAATTATCATAATTCACTGTCAAAATCAAATAGATTTTCACAAACATAAACCTTGTATATTTATTAAGAACATGGCTTTGACATTTTCATTTAAGTTAGGAAAGCATTGACTGTTCTTACGTTTTACATTGGTTGCATTATCTTTACAATTGCATCACAGTTCAGAATGTTAAAAGGAGCCATTATATGCTTGGCTGTACAATGTTTTCATAATATCAGTAGTTTGTCTAGCACAGGGGTGCCCAATATGTCAATCGCGATCAACCGGTAGCTCGTGGACTGATCTCAAGTCCATCGCCATGGGTGTAGAGGGACCCCCTCCCTCCGCCCCCACCCCACAAAAAACCCCCAAAAACAAAAAAAAATGTTTTATGTCTATGTGCCTGTTATTAATAGGATATGTTTTTCTGTAAGTGGACACTGCACCCTGAGCATCCTATCAGTCTCCATTTCATAAAAAGTATATATATATTTTTTAAATTACATTTAAAAAGCAGGTCACCTTTAATCTACGGTGGCCCGTGACCTGCATCACCAGAAGTTGATCGTGGTCAGCAGTCTGCAATTGCTGCTTGTGATCAGAGCTGTTGTGCTCCCTCTTTTATTGTTATTATTCTCATTCAGAGTTTGTTTCATGTACAATTTACCAAGGGTACTAGCAAAGAATGGCAATCTGGAGGGCCGAGAGAAGCAACGCTACACGTACGTATGGTAGTTTCTGCACTTAACATGCTGCAGAAGTACGTTCGGTGCCTCCGCGTCAGGTCTCCCACTAAGGTAGGCAGTGATTTCCTTTTCACAAACCCACAAACTCTTGTGTCGACTTTATTTTTCTGTTTCGTTCATCTTAGGGGCCGTTATGGTTGTTGTGTATCGTGGCATCCGTGTCTAAGTGCATGTGTGCGGGCGTGTGCGCATACCTGTCAACTTTTCGGAGCGCCAACCTGTATAAACTACCAAAAAAATCCTTATAAAGAGCAAAAAATCCTTATAACATACCAAAGCATTTTATATGTCAAAATAACGGCAGAAAAAAACAACGAAATTTTCAATGATATTTATTGTAGATCTCCATAATACAATGTCTGGTTAATGTCTAATCATCATTCTACTTAGTGGCATTACTGGAAAGTTACCGGAAATGAAAGCATTCGAGTAGACTAGCACCATTCTGGGCAAAAGCAAACGGAACTACCTGTTAGGGGAGAAAAAAAATAAAAAAACGGAAATTTTCAGAATCCGTATGATTTGTGCGATATGGCCATATACGTAAGATTCACCACAAAATCCGTATGAACTATGGCTAAACCGTATGAGTTGACAGGTATGCTCCTAGTGTAACGGGTCAATGGCGGGAGGCTGGTTGATCGAAAAGTAGATCTTCGGTCAAAAAAGGTTGGGCACCCCTGCTCTAGCATGTTGTTTGAACATGCAAACAAATCAGAAGTTGATCAGTGTCACGTAAAAAAAGTGGAGGCAGACGTATCAACAATTAGGCCTAATTAAAGCAGTTTTCTCGTTTAAAAAAAAAAAAAAGAAAAGAAAAACAGACAAATCGACCGATGGTGCGGGATGTGAGAAAACCCACACAGGCACGGGGAGAACATGCTAACTCCACACAGGAGCCTGGAACCGTACCCCTGACCTCTGTGCTGTGAGGCAGACGTGCGAACCAGTCGACCACCGCACTGCACTAAACATTTACAGTACAGCCAAAAATGTTCAGGCCACATTATCGCCTTTAAGTTGTCCCATCATTTATAAACACATTGGGAATGCTGGTACAAGCTACACAGTTGAATAAAAGTTGAATGTACAATTATCATATTACTTTGGACACACCTTAAAGAACTCAAACTCCAAGTTAATCTTTTTTTTTTTTTAAAAAGCAGTTAGTTGTGATTAATTGTGACTAGCAAAATCTTTTGTGGCAACCCTAGTCGGGACCAACAATTTTACATTTTTAAAAGGCTCAATATTTAATATCATTATGTGCATGATGGGCAGCACGGTGATAGACTGGTTAGAATGCCTGCCTCACAGTACAGAGGTGCAGGGTTCGCTTCCGGCTCCGGCCTTCCTGTGTGGAGTTTACTGTGCCTGCCAAGTCATTCATTGTAATAAAAATCAGCACAAACAAGACAGAGATCTAATTTGGAGGACGAGAATCAAAATTGTCGGTGGAAATTTCAATATGGTTTACCTAATATCACTTCAACGCATTGCACAAGAAAAAAACAAAACAACAAATAAGACAATGCTAGTTGCCGTGATTCAATCTATGGGGGTTACCATGACCTGGATGACTGAGAATCTACAGACTTCAAGAGAAAACAATATTTTAGCAAGCATATTGTTTTTTTTTAATTGATATTGAACTATTGATGGGACCTCTCGTGTTTGAAAAATGGGTTGAGATGGTTAAAAATAGTTACGGTATGTGTCTAAAGGTTAACAATGGTGAACAATGGCACGCAACCAAAAGAGCCCTGTCATAATTTCCTTCACTACCTCTTGAGGTCTTCAGGCTTTCCCCAACCCCCAATGAAGAGTTTGCTGAGGAGTAGCCTTCTGTAAAATACATCCAGTCGACTCACACCCATGGACCAGCACCAGGCATCTGAACAGACAAACCCGTAAAGTTTAAAATAAAGTCATAAAGATCGGCGTTAAAGTGTAACTCACATCAACTCGTAGGCCAGGCGAGCGCAAAGAGGGTCACCATAAAGTCCAGAAATATCGTCAATAATCACAGCAAGTTATTTCGTAATAAAACAGCCAAATTCCAGACACACAATGTCGGTCGAAATAACTTCGGTGACCTTCAATCTGAATTCGCACTAAGCGTAACTACCGTAAGAATGCAAACATTTGCGCAACAACAATTTTCACTATCTACAAATTAGAGCGCAACGGGAACACGCATATTAACATGCCGAAACGCTTCAAGAAAATGATAATCAAACATGTATGCAAACTGGTGAGATGTTTTGTATGTGCATCTATTCGTAGTCGCAACAAAACAACGCAAGTTCTTGCTCCGAATGCAAGCAAGCGTGTCCATCGACCAGCTAACTTTCGTGCCCGAGTCGCTGTGCTTCCTGGTTGAACGGAGAACGTTGACACATTATCTTCACGTCAAATAAAAAATTGTTCGTTGTCCAAAGTTTCATCTTGAGCTGAGGGTAGCTTAGCTTTGCTCATTCATTCTGAAAGCTTTTCAGTCGCCCGACATTGCGGTTGAGTGAGTAATTTGCCAAGCAAACATGTAGACATATTTCTGATAAAAAGTGATATTTAACATTACCCCACTCTCTGTACAAACGTAGCTGTATTTGCAGTGAATTTATTGGAAGCAAGCTATAGAATATCGGCAGTCAGCAACCCTCCAGAAAGGATGTCATACCCATGCACATCATTTTTTAATAGATGATATATTTGGCTCTGAATACTACGTCAACGTAGCCGCCATACTGGATGTGGCACAGTACCGAATGGAACCATTAAAGTTGCATTCGAGAGAGATGGGAAATCGGAAAAATCCCACTCGGATTGCCCAAATTCCGACCTGAAAGGGTTCCGGCCGAATTTAAACAACAAAAATTGATGATTCCGATCATTTTATGTTGTTCCGGTTCATCTCAACACGTTCTGACCTCTAGCAAAACTTCTTCATAATTTCATTTACTTATAACAGTGTTTTTCAACCGGTGTGCCGCGGCACACTGGTGTGCCGCGAGACATTGTCAGGTGTGCCGCGGGAAAATATCCAATTTTTATGCCTGTGCGGTCTTTCGCCCAGAAAGTAATCATGTAGTACCCTCCCATACCGCTAGGGAGCAGCAACAGCTAGCCAATTGCCTTGTGTTAAGACGAGAGACACGCGAATTTGTGACGCACGAATGCAGGACGACGGTGAAACAATAAATATGAAAGATGATAAAATACTGTTTTCTTTGTGTTCATTAGATTCCAATTCAAGCTGTTATAACGTCATTCTTCAATGTTAAAAACGGTTATAGTAACAATATAACACGTTAGTTGGTAAAATAAATGGGGTGGGTGGGGGGTGTCACATTTTCAGCTAGTGGCTCAAAAATGTTTGAAAAACACTGCTCTAGACGCCCAGCGTCCGCGCGGTCGACGCTCAGCGTCCACACAGTAAGAAACACAGTGAAGCTGCAGGAATGAATGAGAAGAGAGTCACGTTGTAACCAGTAAAATTATATTTTAATTAAATACACTGTTCAGAGTGTCATTTTATCACATTTTTGGTTAGTGGTGTGCCGCAAAATTTTTCCAATGTAAAAAACGTGCCCTGGCTCAAAAAAGGTTGAAAAACACTGACTTATAAAATATAAAGGAATATCTTAGGTTCAAAGCATTTTATACATTTATTCGAATAACAGGAAATAGCAGGGAGATAACGCCATATCTTCATGCATTCCATACAAATCAGGTTGTGTTACGTTGAGTTATTTCTAATAATAATAATAAATCTCTCTCTATCTATCTATCTATCTGTCTATCTATCTATCTATCTATCTATCTATCTATCTATCTATCTATCTATCTATCTATATATCTATATAT